ATCTATATATATATATATATATATATATATATATATAATATTTTAATATGTCATAGGAAATAAACTAATCTTTTTCTGATTTCTTTAATTATAGATCTATAATTATTAAAATGAATAATTCGGTAACCGAATATAAAATTTTAGATCGGTTCCACAATAAACAGTTAAAAAATTCATTATTTCCTCCTTTATCCTATTATTTAATTTTTATTTAAATTTTATTTATTTCCAGTAACCGAATATATTTTTCATGGTCCGGTTCTGGTTTATATAATCCAATTTTAATTTACATATATACAATAACAATACATTTTTTATTTAATTTCCTGTAATAATTATTACATTTTTCATAAGAATTATGTTTATTTAAAATTTTTGTCATACACAGCAAAATCAAAAACATTAAGTGGAAGATGCAGCGAAAGTTTAAGTGGAAACCAAAATATTCGAAGGACAGCATCATTAGATACAATCTATTTAAAAGGACAATGGCCTCGTGATTCATATTATATTCATTCCAGTCTTCTTTTGGTTGATAAATCTACACAGGTAAATTTTATTTTATTTCAAATATTTATTTAATTGCATTTAATGTTTTTATTTTTATAAAAAATTCATTATGGCATAATATTTTATTATACAATGTGATGATATTTCATATCTTTTATATCAATATAATATAAGAATTAAGGAAATTATTTTTCTATAGACAGAAGAATGGTCCAATGAACCAAGAAAATTACACACACGTCATCCTACAGAACAAACAACCACTGATGAAAAATTAGAAAAGTATTTTAGGCACCGGTATGTATATATATATATCATTACATTTATTTTTTTTTTATTTTTTAATTTTAATAATGAAAAATTTTATATTATAAAATGATTAATAGATTTAAAATATAGTTTTTTTTATGCAACATATTATTATGATATTTATATATTTATTTGAATAAAAAAAGATATATAATATAGGTTACAACGTACAAATAAGGAAGGCACCAGCAGTAGAGAACGAACAGCAGTATTTGGACTTATAATGCCAGGTGGACCACCACCAGCTTTTCCTGCAGATCATACAGTTTTACCCAGTATTGCTTCACAAACGTCTATACGTGAGTTCATTTAAGAATAGGAACTCATATAAGAAATCTTTTTGTTTCTAGAATTGATTGACATGTTAGTTTTATTATTGTACCAGACAATCAATTTGGTTTGAGTACAAAGGCAAGTCCTATGAATATCCCTGTGAAACCAATGAGGCCTCCAATGCGTTCTTCTATTGAAGGACTAAATCAAGAAATTGAAGGATTAGTTCTCAAATCCACAACTAACCCTAGTGATCCTGATCATCCAGTGGAAGATAAAGTATGTATTTATTTATATATATTTATTATAATATAAACATAATTATTTTTAATAATGTAATCTATTTATTATAATTTTGATATATGATGAATAAAATAATATATTTAAAATAATTTTGAAGTGAAATTCAGAAATATTAAAAATTGATTTTAATTTAAATATATACTTATTCTTATAGTATGCACGATATCGTGAACAAATTACACCGGAAGGTCATCGTGCACCATTAGCAGATTTATTGAGGGCTACTCGTAGCGTCAACACACAAACACCAGCTACTGACCTTCCCTCCAGTTCTTATTCTTCAGGTAAGTTTATATTTTACTATATATTATTTAATAGTATTTAGATTATAAAATAGCTGTTAATGTTTTTAGAAAATACGCGAACTATATAAATTTTGTTAAAAAATTATGAAAACTTAATCCAAATATTAACACTATAAAATTAATAATTATATGCAACATTTATTATTAGTATTTACAATTCAAGTAGTTTTTTTTTTGTACTTTGAAAAATATAAAAATATTTTATCTATTTTTGTTTTTTTAATAAGAGTATATAAATATATATGCGTGTGAAGTATTTCTGGTTACTGGTAACACTATAAATAACAGACTAACTATGGTGTGTGCCTGTTGAGACAGGCCCTCCATCTAGGAATTCTGAGTCTCCGCTGATTCCTGGTCTTATGGATGCGTCCCGTCCGCCTAGCGATCTCTTACAAGGTTGGCGCATATTTGCGGAAACATACTTTTTATTTTTCATGAAATCCCTTTTAATCAAATATATTTGTTTTTTCTTTTTTGTTTTTATTTTTTATTTTTTTTTATCTTTTTAAATGTTCATATACATATAATTAATAGAATTTTATATATCTATTTATAAATTTTTTATTATTTCGTACATGTATCTATATATATATATATATATACATACACACATTTATATTTTAATCTAAACTATATGCATGAACTATTTTTCTTAAATATAAAATTTTAAATATTTTATAAAAAACATGAAAATTAATAATAAAATTGGGATATTTTTAATTTTAAACAATTTATTATATTTTATATTTATTAAAATTTTAATATATTTT